ATATATATATATATATATATATATATATATATATATATATATATATATATATATATATATATATATATATATATATATATATATATATATATATATATATATGTATGTAAATTATTGCATCTAGTCGTTTTGAACGAAAATGAAACTTTTGTTGGGGATGGTAAACAACATTATTTTTGCATTTCGCAGTGGGAAAACTGATTTCGAGACCTGGTAATGTGATGACCAGCATAACGCTTCGAGGGGCTTTAAAGGTGATCTCTTCTTGATCGTTTGCTTTACATCAAAAGGCGTTTTGTTAGCTGCACCTGCTTCATTTCTTGAAAAACCTTGAAATATTGCATTCTTAACCTCTTTGTGCTTTGCAGAATTTGGAAATTGGTGCTATGTTTAGCTGGATGACGGGTGAACCAGGCGCTCGTTTCGGTTTGGCAATGAAGTACTGTCCCACACATGATCTAGAATTGAAAGCTAAAGTCGGCCATGACTCAAAACTTGCTTTTGCACTCACGCATCACCTCTCAAAACGGGTTTGTTCTTCAAGCAAAGTTGATTTAGATGTATACTTGGACCCCTCAGCCATAGCACAGCATACCATGGCACGTTATACGTCTCAACATTCATTATATATACATCCAGATGTTTTGGAAAGTTTTGTTTTTGTAAGAAAAATGCCTAACAAATCAATTGTTTGATGAGATATTCCTAAGAAAATGAGTTTGGAAAGGCGAAGTAGTGATTTCAGTTTTTCTCGTGCTTATTAAAGCATTCTGTTTTCAGCAGGTTTAATTTGTATGGAAAGCCAATAGTGATTATTGAATAATCATGTAAATTTCAGTTGAATTTGACGCTTTCATCACAGTTCGGAATGGCATCTTTCACTGAAGGACATAAATATGGAATTGGCTTGAACTTCCATCCATGTTGTTGATTTTTAAAGAAAGCGCATTTCATCTTTCCTTGACACATAATGATTACTTGTTATACACATACGAGTCAGTCTTCATTGTTTGTAAACCGTACTTAATGGAAATTTCTTAGAAGCGATAGAATGTATCCAAATTAGCGGTCAATAATTCATTTAGTGGTGGTCTTTTTGTGGTGGCCTTTTCACAAGATTTTATGAAATGACCATTATTATTGTATGGTCATACTGTTATCGTGTTCGCCCCAGTAAAATTCTTTCTAAATTCGTCTTGACATAATTGATACAATATTCATTGACAATTCGTGAATCAGGATAACTTCACAGTGTTTAAGGTGTAATTCCAATTGGATTTGAGGGAAAGTTTGTTTTTGCTGATGTCGGTTGCTTGTGATGTTTAAACACTATTGTGGTTCAGGAGGTGTGTTTTCAGATCCATTGATTTTTCTTTTTTCTAAATTGCAGCATGAGATACGGTCTTTAAAAGAGCTCTCTAAGCGTGAACTGCGTGATCGTGAATGGGTAAATAAGTTTCGTGAATATCTTCTGAATTCCTTAAAAGAAAATAAATCCTGAAATTTTTTTGAAGTATTTCTAAACTATCTGAAAGGTGAGAGATGTGTGCGAGCGTTTTGACTGCAATAGCAGTGTAATAACGTAGTCGTAATTTGAAATCTCGTCGAAATGTAATAGTAAATGGAGTCTATCTTCAGCTGATCCATCAACAAATTCAGGAGGATTTGGGATAGTTTCGTCATTCAGAATTGAAACCAACACTGAAAGCTTTAAGGATAAATTGTATTTTCAAATTTAAAGAAGTTTTTGCTTCTCGGAAAAAAAAAGTCCATTGCTGATTTAAACAGAATTCGGAAAGCCGTGAACTTAAATTGTGCCTTTGATCCGTTGTTGTAGTTTAGCTAAATATCATTTTTACCGTATGCTGGAAAAAAAAAAGCTCACTGCATCTCTATCCGTCTAGTCTACACATATCAATGAAATGAACAACAGATATACTTTGAATGGATGGTGAGAATGATCGAAGAATTAAAATTTTTTTTGTTGAATTCGATCAAGCGAAGTAGCGTAAATGCTACAAAGATGATGGTGAAACATTGGAAGAGAGGAGGAGCAGGTTGTTAGATTGATGAATGAGGAAGTGAAGAAGGAGGATGTTCGTAAGATAGGCGTAGTACCTCTCTTAACAATTGCCCACCAAACTTCCCATTATTATACTTAGCTCAAACAGACGCGATGAATGTGGCAGCTCTATGTTTCGGCATCTTACTAGTGGTAGTCTCGACTGTTACTAGCAAGAAGGTATTTGTAAAGTTTTTTTTTCTCACGATCTCCTACTTACCTAATTTTCAAATACCTTAAGATTCCTTTTCCATCTTGACACTTTCTCTTTTGCTTTTACTATATATCTGGATGGATCCGTAACTCGCATACAGTTGTATATCAAATATACGAATAAATTTACGGACGGTCCTTTTTTTTTTTTAATAATACCGCAAAGTTTTATAGGAGGAAACTTTCCCGATATCTATTAATGTTGTCTAGAAATCCTTATTAGAAAATTGGAATTAAATTTCAAGATTTGAAATGGTTTGTAGTCGTGGTTGTAACGATCGACGCTACAGTACAAACAACTTTGACGAAGCAGCTTTTACGGTTACTGTTCGGGAAGAAATTGGGGTTTGATATATCGCACCTTATGCTTGTTGACATTTCAAATAATACTAAGAGTACTTTTGCTGATGTTACTTCCAACATATCGTAAAGTTCTAATTTTCCTTCTTGGTATTTACTCGATACTTGGAAGTCTTAAACTTTGGTAGAAAAATTTTAGCTTGAGTTGATTTCATTCAGAACTTCATTGCACAATTTTATAACAGATGTCTCTGATATGGATCAGTTTAGTGATTCTTCTTCGAATTGATCCGTTTCAAGAGAAATGTTGTCCTTTTTATTCTTTTGTAAACTTCTGAGCTTTTCATTAAAATTTAAGTCAAGTTGAAGAAAGGAGCAAACAATATTTATTGTTGATCAGAGATGATTGGAACGCAGAATGATTTTGAAAGCAATCAGTTGTTGCAGTAGTCACAACAAGATAGTAGTTGGATACCAAAAAGAGAGAAATGTATTAAATTCTAAACTGTACAGGTTCATTAACAAAGCAAGAGCATTTTCAAGTTATTGTTTAAATATTTGTAGATTGCTTTTCCTCAGTTTTAGTCGTATCTATGTGAAAAAAAAAAAACAATGGTAAATTTTAATTTGAAATGTCTATCTTTCTTGTGAAAAGGAAAGTTATTTCATTTCTCACTTTTGTCATTTTTTAAATGCCGAATTCTGCATATTTTCTCAGTAAAAAAAAATTGAAAACTTTTCTCTTAATTAAAACTTTTTGATTGAAACAAGACAAGTAAGGGGTTTCTTTTGGGAAAAAAAAGTTTTTAACTAATGTCAAGTACAGAAATCTGGAAATTTCAAATAAATTGAAACTTTTGTTATAAAACTTGCTGAATGGATTTGCTAATTATCTATTAAGTATGCGAAAAATGTTTGAAAACAAATGGAAAGTAAAAGATTTTTTTTTCTTTAGAAGATAGCATAATGTCATTACAAAAAAGTTCAGTAATATCAATCTGAAAGTTTCATCCTTTTGAAAGTTGTTTGGTTCACTTAATTAGACGAAAAGGAATTGTAAATGGTAAAATTGACCCAAATTTTTTTTGATTTTTTTTTGTTGCAAAAAAAATTGTTATGCCATTAGGATATCAAAATGAAGTGATCTTTTGAGCAAAGAAATAATTGGTAATTAATCAACTAATCATTGGGAGGATTTGAACTGTGCCATGCTCTTTTTTTAAAAAATAAAAAAGTTGTTTTAATTCACTAGCTAATCATCCGATACTAAAATGACCGACCAGCTGTTATCTCGTATATCAATAGCTTCATTTTTACTTTTCAAACGACTTTTTTTCCCAAATTTTTTTGGCTAAAATATTTTCGAGTTTTTCTTTTTTTTTTTGTTACTCTTGAATATATCTCACTTGATATCAAAAAGGTGAGATTTTGTAAAAAAACTTCAAATTACTTTTCAAATTTTAGAAGAAGGGAAATGATTGGGATGAATTGGAAACATTACTGGAAAATATTGATGAGCGAGTTACAGAACCAACTCAAGATTCTAAATTTGGTTTGTTCATTTTACTTTATTCCAAAAAGTTATTCGAAAAAAAAGACAAAATTATTGCTAGGCTAGAAATAATCGTTAATGAATTTATTGTAATTTTTTTTGAAGTAGTTTTAAATTTGATTAATGTTTAAAATTAATGATTGGGAAAAAAGTTAAGGAAAATATGATTAGATTTCAATCTGACTTCTTCAGCAATCATATTTCATGTACTCCAAAGTGACACTTTATGACAACACCGTTATTGTTTGCTTTTCCTCTTTGTTCTCAATTCTCTCGAATTTCTTGGAAAAGTGCTTTGTTTAAATAAATCGGATCTGAAAGTTCTAAAGCTTAGTCTAATTATATGATGAAAATTAAAAATAATTGGGTATTTGTTGAGTTTTAGCAGCATCAGTAACACAAAAAATCCTTGTGAAGATCATATCTGTGGATGGGGTAAAGAATGTGTTGTGGACAAAAAAGGTGAACCAGTTTGTGAATGCATTTCGAAATGTCCACAATTGGATGATGATCCGCTTGATCAGGTTTCATCTAAATTTCTATTAAAACTTAAGTTCTTTAAACTTGAAACTTTGCTAATCATGTATGTTATTACTATGTTAATTTTCCATTGATGTGATATTTGCTTTTCAAACAGAAAAATGTATAGGTAATTGAAAACATCCCGGAGATTATTTTTTGAAAAAAAATTTTGAAAGAGCAATTTTTCTAGAAGATGATATTTTCAGGTTTGCAGTAACACAAACCAGACATTTTCATCATTATGCGAACTATATCGCGAAAGATGTTTTTGCAAACATAAATTTAAAGAATGCAAAGTTAGTCAATGTTTTTTGCTTTACTGCATATAAAAACATTATTAAATTTTAAGATTGAATTAAACTTCTATAAAAAAAGTACTTTTTTTTTAAGCACTGATTCACTGGATCGTGTAAACATGTTTTCAATTTGCCGGAGTATGAATTTACTTCTGATTTACTCAATTATAAACTTACTTTTTTAATGTCCAGCAATATAGTGATAAAATGCATCATTTTCAAATGCGCTTATCTTTTACTAATGTGAAATTTCATAGAAGAAATAATGATTGTTATTTAGAATAAAGTTAATGCAAAAGTACATTTGGAATATTTGGGTGCTTGTAAGAAGCTTGAACCATGTACCGATGAACTGATGGTCCAATTTCCAACACGAATGGCAGACTGGCTTTTTCAGGTCTATCCAATTAAATCATAATTTTTTTGATAATAAATGAGCTTTTTGCTGGAGATATTTGGAAAAATCACTTATTAGAAGTATATATTTGTGAACACTAAAAAACGATTTTACAAATTTGCCAAATAACATTTTACGCCTTTTGCAAGAAAGATTCAAACAGCTGTTTGATTCAAACAGCTTTTGTCCTAGCATCGTTGAAATTAAATTTAATACGATTTCTTCTATTAACCTAAAATTGAAACATTTGGAATCCCTGAAACGATTGCCTTTTGAGAATTTTTTTTTACTGTTGATCGAAAATAATGTTTGGACTTTTACGAGTTAACAGTTCTCTTTTTGCTTATAATAGTAATAATAAACTTTGCTGGCATTCATAACTTACAATGTAATGTTAATATAAAAATTTAAAAAGAAAGAGTAAAATGGAATCACTGTTTCATATTTATTTAATATTTTTTAGCAAAGCTTTCGTTTGAAGCAAAATTTTGAATCTAAAAAATTTTTTAAAGGTAATGCGAGAAATGAAGAAACGACGAGAGCTGCATAATTTGGAATGGGAAGAACTGATCGCAGAAGCAGAATCTGATGATGAGAAAAAGCATGTCTATCCGGTAATATGGAAATTCTGCGATCTGGATATCAAGCCTCACGATAAACATGTATCTCATCATGAATTAATTCCCATCACAGCACCCGTTATCCCTATGGAATCATGCATTAAACCGTTCCTGGAGAACTGTGACATCAATAATGATGGCAATATTTCAATTAAGGAATGGGGTAAATGTCTCGGCCTAAAGGAAGGTTAGTTCTTTTCTATATGGTATATTATTATATTATTCTAGCAAGCAAAATTATTCGACTACTTATTTGTTTATTGCTTGATTTATTCGAGTTATTAAAAAGTAATTAGCTGATGATTAGCTCTGTATAACAGTAGCTGTCAATAGTGTTGGCTTGAAGTAAAATCGTTTAAATTAACAAAAAAAAAAAGAGAAAACGATTCCAATAGGTGATTTTATTATGTCAGAATACAATTAAGTTGTTTAATTTAGAAAATAAATTTAATTAACTTAGCATATCAGCATCAAATTTATTAAAACGAAAAGAATTGATCAGCACATGGTGACTAATAATAAGTAATAGTGAGCAATTAAAATTGCCGACAAGAGGTCGTAACAACATTAATTCTAAAAATTTTTTAGTAGAAAACTGCATTATTTTTAAATGCAGTCGAAAAAAGGGTTGAAAAAATGGTTGCTACATTATTTTTAAAAGGATTAAAAGTCTTTGTTGAATTAAAAATAAATGCTTAAAAATTTTTGAAATCAAATGAAAAGTTGGAAAAGAAATTGAAATTATGATTAAATGTTTGATTTAAGATATAATCCAGCGGAAATGTTCCAAATGCACAAAATAAATGTTAAAAATTTCACATGTTCGTGAAAATTTTTGTTTTTATTTTTTATTTTTTTCCCATCATATTTATAATGTACAAAACTTGTTACATTGTAGTTTAATAAGAAGTTAAATTCTTTTCAGGTGAAATTCAAGAACGTTGTTAGGATGAAAACTGTGATATCCAAATACTGCCAACTATAACTTTTATTCGATCGAAAAAAAAAGAAAAAAACGAAATTCTTTTTTCTTACTGTTATAGAGAAGTTATGAGTATTCTTCATTATTTCATAATTTTTATTCCGCCACTTTATGATCATAATGAATCAATTCCTGGCGAAAAGAAGAATTTGAATTTTGATCTTTGATTGGAGAAAAAGAAAATGAAATTCTTTTTGCTTACTTCATTCGTCTCATCACACACACAACACGTCAGTTATCTTTGATGATTTCTCAAAAAAAAAAAAGGAATGAAAAAATGTTACAGTTTGTTTTCATTTTTATTTACATTATGAGCGAAATGAAATTAAGTAATAAGCATCACTTTTAAGCAATAAGCATTTGCTTTTCTTAATTCATCAAATTTGAAAAAGTCATGTAATATCTAAGAATGAAAAGGTAAAAAAATATGTATAAAGTTTGGAAATTTACATTAAGCAAATCTAACCTTTTCCTATAAAGTTAATTTCCACAAATTTTATGGCATAATTTTAGATCAAAATTCAAAATAAGGCAATCTTTTAGTCCCTATCCGATACAAAGAATCATAATAGAATAAGGTGTATTGCATGATTAAGCTCAGTGATTTTGGTGAGTGATTTTTTGGTGATATTTATAGATTTGATCCAGGATTAGAAATGGAAAACAAATTGTACCTAATTATGAGTTTGATTTAGTTTTAGTTTAGATTGCATTTTGTAGAAGAAACTTGGAAAAAAAAATAATGGGAAAATCATTTCTCGATGCGCACCTCCAATTTGAACATAATTATACTACCCTCCATTGTATAACTATGTATTTCTAATTAAACTGAAATTAATATCTATTAGTGCATTGGATGATCTTGTATCGCCATGAGCTATCACAAGTTTAGTATTACATTGCCAGTCAAGTATTTCAAAAAGTTGGGAAGAGAATTGAAGCTTAATGAGCAAATTTTGAAAAACTTACTGATAAGTGGAATTTAATTCATACCTTTATTGATCAATTTCCAAATGCTTTTTTGAGAAAACAAAACGAGGAGGGTAGTAAAATAAACGTAGAGCAGGGGGTCAGAGGTGAAATTTAAACCATTTTTTGACAAACGTGATATTGTTGCATTAATTAATTGAACATGAAAAGTACGCGTTATTTTTATGAAATTTATCATAGCAATTAATGAGATCGTTAGAATAAGTCACTTTTAGCTAATCATTCATTGACAATAGCGAATGATACAAAATGTTGAACTGTTGAATAACCTGTCTTCTAAATACATTCAAGCAATAATTTAGATTTCTACCATTTTCGATCAAATTTCAAATCACTGAGTACGGCAAAACTTTTGAGGACATCCAACCGGTTAATGTTAGAAAAATCTGTACAACCAAACAATATATTTTTCTAAACCTATATTACAAAAACCTTCTTTGGAGTGTTACAGTCAATGATATCTTCTGATCTATCTTGCTGTTTCTAGATTAGCACTATTAGACGAACTGAGTAGAAGTAGGTAGCAATGGCATTGGAGGTGGCATTGTTGGCTCATGCCAACTTCCCTCATCAACGTGTTTATTACCATTCTTGCCACTTCGTTCTTCCGAACATACTGCTTTTTCGACATCAAATACAGTTAGCTTACCATTTCGTTGCAAAAATTTCATCCATAAAGATTCCGTAAGACGAGCACATACAATGTTACCGCCATGTGAAGCAATCATCTGGAAATTTTTGCTTTAGAAGAACATGCAATATCGATCGATTGACCAGCTTGATTGATAAATTTCATCATCCTCGTTAGGAGATCGATTAAAAGATGTGCTTTTGATGGCTGATATTGTACATGGTGCATTGCATCTGATGTGTATAGTTGTGCCACTATCAGGTGTGTTGCACTGAATAACCGAATATCCTGTGGACTCTTCCTTTCAGTTTGTAACTAATTTACCCAAATTTGAATAACTGTAAACAGAATATTCAAGTAGGAGAGGTTTAGAGGTTTAGACAGCCTATCGGCGAATAACTCCGTTTTTTTTGAAAGAAACATTTTGGAAGGTCCTTGGTTCCTTGGTGGTAATGAACTCTTTCATCCACCACACTATCTTTTTCAAGACGAAGTTTCCAAATCAAAAGTTAAATATAGCCAATAATACATTTGGCAAAATTTCCAGATGATAAAAACATACGTGCAAAATGAGTACACCGTCAGGACGGAGAAAATGATGCACAAAACGATGAGTCTGATTGGATTCACATTCCAGAAACTTAGTGACAAATGCATGCCTCCATTCTGCAAGCGATAATGACAATGTCCAAATGACCATATTTACGGCAGTTCCGAATGAGAGCAGTAAAAGCCAAAGCCACAAAAAGAGGAATATCTTTTCCGTCAACATATTGACAACGAGAACGCACTGCACCGTATGCCGATGAACATTACCCAAAACCCGTATTTCGAAGTCACACAATGTTACACGTGGAAAACGTCCTGAATCACGCCATTCTCGACCCTAGAAATGTTCAACTACCAGAATGATTCTATTTCACATACGTGAGATGATGAATGCACCTATAAATGCATTTGCAGTATGATATAATTACATTAAAGTTTTGCATTGCATGCAAATGGACGTGCTGGTTCAACTATTTTACTAGTTTAAATATCCCCTTTTTCTCGTTGTAGATGAGAACTGGTATTTAGTAGAGAAATCTTGACTAAATCCAGTGATCGAAAAAAATCTCCGTAAAAGATTCTTTCCAAGTTGTAATACTAAACTGTAGTATGAATTCTAATGTCAAATAAAACATTATACCATGATGAGATCGTAAAGAACATGACCACCGAAGAATGGATAATTGGATGTTTCCAAAAAGTTATTAAGCATAATAAATTGTATCAAATAAAACATTATACCATGATGAGATCGTAAAGAACATGACCACCGAAGAATGGATAATTGGATGTTTCCAAAAAGTTATTAAGCATAATAAATTGTAGGATAACGTTACATAGATGTAAGCTCTTCACGAAGAGATAAACAACTGATACATAAGCTCCGTAAATTTTACCTAACTTTAGCACAGCAAATAGATATACCTGAAATTAATGTTAAAGTTATTATGTCTTGACAAATTTTAACCAAAATTTCTAACTTATTTGAGATCATATGAAGATATTAAGCATGCAATTTTTCCTTTTTTGTGATTACTTCCATTTGTATAAAATTATACGTGAAAAATTTCTCGAAAATTTTTTGTTAACCAATAATATTTCCTGTTTCATTTATGGAAAAGCATTGCATGTCAATTACATATTCCGAATGAATTCTAGTTTTTACCAGGGAAATTAATTTAATCCTTTATCAGGACTGGAAATCAGTAAGATGTGGCTGTGGACGATTGAAATTTAATTAGTTTTAAAGTTTTAAAGTATGCTTCTCAGGCTTTTGCACTACACAAAAGGTATGGTTAATTTCCTCAATCTTTTAAGATATCAGATGTGATGTAATTAAGTGTAGCAATTAGGATTGATTTTTCAGATGAACTGAAGCATCCTTAATAACTTTTTATCCAACCATGAAATGACGAGTTTTCCCCACTGTATTAAACGCAGCTAAATTTCACGTTTGATACTGCCATAACGACTTTTTTTCGAGAAAAAAAAAGTCTAAATGTCATCTTTCAAATTATCATCTATTATTTTACTCATTGATCAGTTTATCGATGATTCAAATTGTTTATCTTCACCCCTCCAATAAGCTTTAGTATCCCTTTAATTTGTATGAATCTTCAGAGATTAATTATATTTTGTTACAGTGTTTTCATATCCAACCAGACTATCATCGTAATAGATCCAATGCCGAAGTTTGATTTCACAGGAATATTTGGCAAAAATACTTACACTTTTATTTCGACTACCATAATCACGTTGATATTTCAGCGCATCATCAATATGCCTAGTCAGTACTTCAACAGAATGATCTCGTATTAACGGATCGACATTTTGGTCCTGGCTTGCTAATTGTATCACCAGTGACATGTTCAATCCTGCAATTTTACTATCGATTTCCATCAATTGTTTATTTCTGACTTAAGCTATCAGATTTGGCTCGGAAATGCCCGTGTACCTCCTTCTCCTCCCATTGCTCAATGTGAAAAGTGATCATTTTAATTCTTTGCTCTTTCGCATACATAGAAAAATCCTTGCCCTGTAACCAATAATACCTTTTTCCAATGAAATAATGATCGCCATTTTCTTCGATATGATATTTAAACAACAATAAACAACAGAGATAAATCAATAATTTGTGGTTTGGATAAAGTAAAATTCTCAAAACCAATATCAGCCCCATCAAAAGATACTGATAAGATATGAGAGGTTACCTTTCAATACTAATTTATCCAAATTGTAATACACATAGTTTAAAAGCAAATTTGAAGTATTGTAATTTGTTGCAGCAGTAACAGTAATTAAGCAAGCATCATTATTATTGATATAAGAGAGAAAAAATAAACAAATAATTGATAGAAATGTTTAAATTTTTTATGTATATATATATAAATATAAAAATTAATTAAGTGAATGCAAACTTGTTGCGATTGAAATTCAAAAAAATTTACTGTAATGATAATATTAAAAAGATGATTACCTGACTGTGTACTAAGTATTCGCCAGACAGTTGATGGCATATGAAACATGATAGCTGCAATAGCTAATGCAAATGGAACCCACTGATAATAACCAATTTGTCGACGTTCCCGATCATCCAAACGATGCGGTATTAAATCCTTCAATAAAATTCTAGGTAATAATCATTTTGCATCTAATATTGCTTTAAATTTAAGCGTTTCTTCATATTGAATTAGACATTACTACTACAGTATCATATCCTTTTTAATTACAATAATTTCAATATTGTTACGGAAAACATTTAATTCTTACGAAACATAAATTTATTTTCCATCATTT